GGGAACCCCCGGGCGGCCCCGCGGAGGCTGGGGATGCGCCTGTGCAGCGCGAGGCTGTGACAGAGTGAGGTGACCCGCTCCCAGCACAGCCCAGCGGGTTAATGGGGAGCTGTGGAAGAGATCGCAGCTTGCGGAGACGGGGTCACTGCGTGCCCCCTGCGACCCCGTTCGAGTCTAAATGCAAAACAACCGTCTGCCATTTCCAGGAGCAACAGGGACACGGCCGGAGCCAGGTGACCGAGGGGAGTTTGGCATTTCAGTTCTCCCTGCCCACTCACTATTACTCAGTCTCCGTGGGGTCCCGAGGGCTTTTTTTGGTTGCCCAGTGTGGAATTTGGCATCTTCTGCTCTTTGTAGCTGGAAATTTTTAGGACAAAAAGCATGTTTACATAGGGCTTGTGCTACAACTGCTACTAACTTGGTTAAATGAAAACCAGGTGCTATTCCAGCTAGTGACTCATTGCTGCTGAATCTCAGGTGTCTGTCCCAAACCGCAGAAGTGTTCCAGATGTCAAAGATCAGCAGCTGTGCAGATTTTAATTCTCCTCCCCCTGCTTGAGAGCAAAAATCAGCTCCCATCCTCCAGCCTGAAGCATCCCTCGAGGCGTGTTCACATGGCAGCAGGACCAGGCAGCGACGCTGGAGCTCACGACGGTGCGCGGAGCGATGCCCACACGGGCACAGAGACGCTTTAATGGGACTCTGCTCAGCATCAGCGCTGATGGTGCTGCTGTTCATGTGCGCGTTTAAAGACAGGACGGGAAGTCTGGACCAAAGCTTTTCCCTCACTCCCCCCCCCTTTTGGTCTTGGCTCCAGGATTTCAGATTTCAAAGATGGATTTCAAGATTCAAGTTCAGATTTCAAGAACACCCTGGGATGATGCTGTCCCCACCTGCCTCCTTGGGGACAATTTCCAGCAGCTCAGCGAGAGAGAAAGGCTCAGTGTTCAGGAGTTATATCATTCTTTATATCATCGTTAAGAGTAGCAGGTATTGATGTACAATGCATCTGTCATCTTATTGTGCTTCCTATGAAAATGTGTGTACATAGTACAGATACCAGAGAGAATTCAACACTTTATACACTTGAAGGCATTCAGAGATCAGTAACAGAAAAAAAAATGGCACAAGAACAAGGCCTAAATGCTACTAGATGGGTATCTACACTGATGTGGTGCATATATAGAGAGATATATATATATGTACACATATATATATAGTCATATATATTACATATAAGAAATATAAAATGAAGATGGCATAATAGAAACAAACCAAAAAGGGTATGCTTCAACAGGTGAGCGTCAAGGTCAAATCCCAGCCCCATCTTTAAAAGCTTTAATGGGAAAGAGAAAGAAAGAAAGAAAGAAAGAAAATAAATAAATGAAATGCAATGAAACATTAGGAAAAATCCATAAGAAAATTTATGGATGTGGCCGACCCGTCATCTTTGGGTGATCGCTGGATACAAAGGACTGACCCCCAGTTCCTAATTTTGGTCAGGAAGCAAATAATAATAATCATCATCATCATCATCATAATATTAATGACAATACTAAAACCAAAACTGCAGTTTAGAAATAATAATTACTAAAAAGACTTATTGCAAAAGCTCTTAAAGATAAGTAGCACTTCAGCCCTGGGAGGGCTCTTGCTTGATGCATGGGGCCTGGGGGCTGGCGAGGGCAGGGGGAGGCCAATTTCCACTGACCCTAGAGCGAAACGGTGTGCGCTTGTGGGCCCGGGGAGCAGAGCCTCGGCCAGTG